GTGGCATCTTCTGCTACCTTTCATGTGTAATAATTATTTGTATACAAAGTAACTTAGACATATTTAACAGGATCAATTGATATTCCCTGAGAAAAAATATAGCCTCACAACATATTGAGATTAATTCACACATGATAACTTACATTTCATCTGGACTAGTTCTAAAGAGGTATTAGATCAGAATAAAGGGCAATGTGCATCTCTAGCATTTTCATTTTTAGCACAGTTGAGTGAACCTAATAGTCTTTGCATCATTATGTGGAATTACATGGAACAATCAGGTTCCTTATGCATTATGTTTGAACATTGTTGGGCCCAGGAAGATTTGCTCCAGTGCATAGGTAATTAAAGGTTATGCACTCTAGTATCATAAGTGAAAGGACTAAAACACAAAATTAACATTTGTAGTCATGCTGTGCAGAGATTACAGTATAAGTAGATGAATTTAAGACTTCTAACAAAAGGGCACAGCACTGTGTGGATTATAACTATCTAAATGTATTTAATATGCATTCACTTGCTTTTCTTGAAATGCTTCAATTAGTTATTGCCTGTTTTCAGGGTGGAGGGTTCTTTCAGAATATATTGAGCTGCTCAAAACCCTTTATTGAACAGTGATGAATTTGATGAGTACGATGTAAAAAAGATTTCAGCTTAAAACATAGATTTCAGTTGAAAACATTACAGCAGAATTTTGTAAAGCTAAAATGAGATCTATTTTTCAATCCAAGGAATGTTTTATATCATACATAATCTTTTCAAATGTTATAGAATGCAGATGTGAAATATTCACCTCAAAATACAAATGAAATAATTGTTTTTTTAAGTTCATAGAAATTAGTAAATAAGTAGTTTGATTTCACTATTCCATACTGAATATAAACTGCATCAGTACAGGGATTATGTCTGGATTTTTTGTTTTTGTTTCATTTTCATACTGGGGATTAAACCCAAGGGCACTTTACCACTGACCTCCATCCAAATCCCTTCATGGTTTTCTTTTTTTGATACAGGGTTTTGCTAAGTTGCTGAGGACCTCACTGAATTGCTGAGGCTAACCTCAAACGTGTGATCCTTCTGCCTCAGGCTCTTGGGTGCTGGAATTATAGGTTTGTGCCACTGTGCCTACCTTCTGGATTTTGTCTGTTTTGTTCACTGTTGTTATCTCCAATGCTGAAAATGTGATGTCATGATAGGTCCTCAATAAATACTGAATGTTTGAAACACATCATTCCTTGCAGTGTTAAAGGAGAAGTTATTCAGTGACTCTTGTCAAAATTCAGTAAGGCAGATTTCATTCAGGATCATAATAAAGGATATGAGGATCAGATGTCAAGGATGATAAGATATTAGAGTGGGGAATTTTTTGCTCAACGGACTTGGTAATGTTCTTGCTAAAACTGGATTTCCAGTGAAATGCACTGATGAACCTGGGAGAAGGTTGGTGAGCATGACTGAAGTATGGTTAAGCAGGGAACCTTTGTCAACCATCATTACTAGGATAACCTCTAATGATAATTTTTCACCAAAGTTGTTATAACAATTGACTCATCAGCCTATTTAATTCAAATGTTTTCTTAAATATCAAATAGGCACATATATTTTTAACATAATACAAGATATAAAGAATGATGGTACATTAACTTTGTACATGATTACGTTTGAGAAGTATATTACAATTTCCTTCAGAATCTTCAGTAAGCCATTCTCTGAACTCATCGTCATTCCTTCCTCAGAGCTGGTGACCACTATCCTGAATGTTATGTTTATTTTTTTTTCTCGTTCAAAATTATTGTTACACTCTTTTTTTGTAAATTATTATTTACATTCTATTTCTTAAATTTGTTTATGTGCATAGGTTGTAAAAAGCCCACATCTTATTTTTTTTTAAGAGAGAGTGAGAGAGGAGAGAGAGAGAGAGAAAGAGAGAGAGAGAGAGAGAGAGAGAGAGAG